ATTACAAAAAACTGAGGAGTTTACAGTATGAGATAAACCCAATTGAATTACAAGCCTATTCAAATAAATTCCTTGTAGCCATTTGTCCTTGAAGAATAATATCAAAAGAAACAATAAAAAGCCATTTTAGAAATATATCTAGGCTGGGCATGGTGGCTCACACATGTAATCCCAGTACGTTGGGAGGTCGAGGCAGGCGGATCACCTGAGGTCAGGAGTTCAAGACCAGCCTAGCCAACATGGTGAAACCTTGTCTCTACTAAAAATACAAAAATTAGCTGGGTGTCGTGGCACATGCCTGTAATCCCAGCTACTCAGGGAGGCTGAGGCAGGAGAATCTAAACTCAGGAGGAAAAGGCTGCAGTGAGCTGAGATCACACCACTGCACTCCAGCCTGGGTGACAAAGCAAAAACTCTGTCTCCCAAAAAAACAAAGAGAGAGAGAGAGAGAGATCTACTATGTGCTTCTGATTTGGCAATTTTCCCTCTATAAAACTCCTTTATAAAAAAGACTCCAGGGAAAAATATGTCCATTAACAGGTATGTATAGTATGTTTCTGATGTTTACGGACTGTATGAGCAGAAAATTGTAAAACTGAGAAAGACCTCAATAGTAAGGGACGGAAGGACAAATCTACCTTTAAGCTGTTGTCTTAAGACTACCTTATTCTTAAGGACTTTATGGAAGAGCATACTGTATAATCTTTTGAAAAGTTTCTGGAAGAGTTTCGTGATTTTTAGTATTAACATTTTTGTCTGTGTCAACAAGCCCTGAGTAATACCAGAGGTTTGTACACTTGGGCAACTTAGGAGAACAGGCTCAACCCACAGTCATTCCAAATCCACCATCTCTATGAAACAGACTGGGCTCAATAAATGTTTACTAAAAAATGGAAGGTTGGAAAGGACTGAATCCATGCCAGCGACCCTTTTTACACTAGCTTTGGTCTGAGATATCTCAGGGATGATGGAATGGGTTTTGAAAATGGGCTCTTGTGACACAGAAAAAGCTGTAAAGCTATAACTCTAATAAGTGCAGTCATCAAGATTTGTTCCTAGAAAACAATCCTCACCATCTTGGTCAGATCAAGAACACTTCACACATAAGTAGTAGTGTAGGCTAATGGAATATATACCCACATACCTTGGCCCTAAATGATACCAACTTACTTTCAGTGCTTCTAATCTTTCATAAATGCCTATTTGGTGCATCATGGCAATTTTCTTTATCAGTACTGTCCATGGATGGCAGTGACTTATGAATCACAGCAGTGATAAGGCTGTAAGATTTTTAAAAAGTTCATGATATAAAGAAGTAGTTTATTATCCTTATTTCACCAGTGCTTTCAAATCTGGATTTCTGCTTTAACAACAGGCCATGTAGTTAAGAACCCAATCTTGATTTTACCTTAAGAATCAGACAAGCTACTTCCTGAGTCACCTGAAAACTACTGCATCACCCGTGGCTCTAAAGTTCATTTGCAAAATGCCAGGTCACCAAGAAACCAAAAAACCCTTTAATTATCTCGTCAGCAAAATCAATCTTTAATGTTCAACTAATCTTCAGTATCATTTCCTGCAGAGCCAAGTACATAACATTAATGAAAATTTATAGCCATTTCTAGCTGTGTCAATAAAGAAAATATTGAAGGAAGTCCTTTCTCCTGCCTAATTTTCAAAACAGCATACCACCACAGCATTCATCAAGGTTTCCCCAAAGTATTTTTGGGGGATTAATTGGCTCCCTCAATTTCTTCTTGGGATTATGCTTTAATTTTCCTCCCTTTCTTAATCATACCTAAGCTGTGAAAGCATTTGTAGATAGATATCATGGGAGTACAGCTCAATTTTATAAATATACATATACATACATATATACATATATATATATACACACACACACACACAATTTTTTAAAAATTATCATAGAGATGAGGTCTCACTATATTGTCCAGTCTGGTCTCAAATTCCTGAGCTCAAGTAAGCCTCCTACCTCAGCCTCCCAAAGTGCTGGGATTAGTCATGAGCCATTGCGCCCAGCCTTGAAATCCCATTTTCAACCAACATTTATTCATTTTAAAATTTTTTGGATGAAAGATTATAAATGCCCTACAAACAAAATAACCTACTTGATACACTCCCACTCTACCACAGCATTCTATTAGAAACCTGCATTTGTGTCTTTGCCCTCCCCCAAAGCATCTCTAAAGGTGAGCCATGACAAGCCAATGCACGTGCAGGGCCCAGCTATGTGTACCCACCCAGGATCAAATGACACAGGACAATGATGGCCAATGCCAGACCTGCAGTTCTAACCTCTGCCCACCCACTTACCCGCATCAGCACTGGAAACTGTCAGGTTAATCCCTTCTCAAGGGGTCAACCTCAAGTATTTCTTTTTCTTATTCCCTATGGACGACATCCCTCCCAATAGAATCTCAGAATCTTGAATGCCAAAAACCACCATGGATTTCCCTTTTTCCACACCCAAGACAAAGGTAGCTGAGAACATCAAAAGCAGTTAAAGAGTGTCTATCGTTCTGCCTAAAACTCCTTTACGCTTAGAGAAAATACTTCAAATAAGACCAACTGATATGCACTAGAAGCAAATCATGACCACACTTACAAACTTTGTCTTTGAATCCTCCTCAAGCATCAAATAGTCACATAGAAAAGAGCTTACAATTACAAGACTAGCTTCACAGGGCTTTCATCCACATTGGGCAGAGCAGCTAAATTCACCATACTGTGAAGCCCAGTTTCATAGATCTAGATTGGTCTTTGACACCAGAACATATAAAATGGTAACCTTAAATAGGTTTAGATTCACTCAACTCAAAACTTCCATCTTTCCATTTCAATGAGGCCTCTCATAGAGTCTCCATGAAAAGTTTCCCCCAAATACAATAAAATCATAATCTGCCCCAACTCACTAATACTGCCTGGGCTCAAATACAAAGCTCCAGCCCTCAAACCGTGTGACAGCAACCAAATGACTCTACAACCCTCTGTCTTCTTTGTCTAAAACAGCGGTCATCATGGGGCCTCACTAAGAAAACAGGATTCACAGCCAAGGCAAGGGAGACACAGTTTATGTGCGGCACCAGGATCAGTGAGCCTTCTACAATGTTAGCAATTATGATTACTCTGGTTGCTGTTGCTTTAATGTGACAATAAATTAATAGAATAAAAGGGGGCAGTTCTAGAACCAGTGGAAGCCTAGAATCATAGGAGCAGGTGTTGCCTGATGCTACCTGACAGCTACTTTGCTGATAGCTACTTTGTCAGGCAGGTGGGACAAGGATGATTTAATGGCTTGTGACTCGGAATGCCTTAGTTAAAATGACTGCTCTCCTACAAATGGTCCTCCCCAGGTACACCGTGTTTCATTTACAGATGAGAAAAAAACAGCCAAACTTCTCAATCCATCACTAACTTGGATTACAGAGATAATACTTGTAGCCAAAGTTTACCCAAAATTTTAACCAAGACATGGTGAAAGAGTGCTGGGAGACCACTCATCTAGGTGTGCAACCATTTTTAATGTTCATTTGCAATATCACAAAGAACAAATTCCCTTTACAAGACATGCACACCATCCCAAATGAAATCTGGTATTGTCATCAAAATTTTAACCACTAGGGAATTAATCTTAAAATCCTATTTTCTAAACCATCCTCAAGCTACATCTATTTCTTTCCCTTAGCCCAATGTTTCTCAAACTGTAGACCCTGAACTAGCCACATCAACATCATCTGGGAAGTTGGGAATGCACAAATCTAAGACCCCACCACAGGCCCACTCAATCAGAAACTCTGGGGTGGGGCCAGCCTGTTTTAACAAGGCCTCCAGGTGATTCCTGGATGCCTGCTCAAGGTGGAGAACCACTGCCAACAGCCTATAAACACGTGGGCTGGACCATTACTTCAGACAGCTCTATTCCTTAAAAAACTATCTGGCATTTTTCTGTCCCCTAGAAACCTGCTATAGGATGATGTCAACTGTTCTTTCTATTTTTAATTCCTCATGATGAGGCTGAGGATGATTCATTCAGCACCTTATGTGATCACTTAAATAGTAAGGATCCTTCTCTCCCACCCCTAATGGAAGGTGACTGCTGCCTGTTATTTCTGATGTAATTACAGGAACAATTCAGTAATAAAAGCTTCTCCTTCATCAACCTCAGCAAAAGCTGTAATAGAGACTTATAACTCCCCGTTAGTTTCCATAACGTGTTCCTCATAAGGTATCCTTTGAAACCCATCTTACCAGATGTCATAACAAGGAAACACAGAACCCAGGATCAAATTTATAGTTAACAGAGATCAAAACTGCAAGTCTTTAGGCAAGTCTGTATCAACCATCTGGTTTTATCTCATTTATCTAAGTGAAATTCCTAATAAAGAAAAAAAAAGTTGATTTAAAGCTGTCTATGGGTCCTGAGATGACCATATCAATTGCGCATGCTCTCAACACTGCCCAACATCTATCTAATTACCAAAGTAGGAAGCATTCAGGGACATTTCCTAAATATTGAATAAAACCTTTTCTATACCTTTTGCTGAGGTGTGTATTAATTCAGAGAAGTTAAATTTCATACCTGCTGTGAGGTCTCCTGATGAATTGTGAATACCAGCGTGTTATTAATTTCCCTTTTGTTTTTTTATTAATTTCTTCTTACTTAATGCCGGACAAGAAAGGAGATTAATGATGTCTGAGACTCAATGTTCAGTTCTTGTAATACACTAAATCAACCTCACGTGTTCAAGTAAACAGCCCAGATAAGTTAATGATCATTGAACTGGCTATAGAAAGTGTCCAAAGTGCCACTTAAATAAATGCCCAGAAACCCAGAGTGTTTAAGCTGTAAACTCCAGTTAATACTCCTCAGGGAGGGGAAGAGAATGAACGCCAGAGTTCTGAAGACTGCACTATGCATGAATAAACTTGTGCCCTGTTGACCAGAGACATGGATTTATTTATCACACTGTAATTCTTACATTTCCAAGGGTCCCTCTGTGTATCACTCAGCCTCTTCACACCTTTCTCCTTGTCTTCTCTCAACCGTCTCTGCGATCATCTCAGCTCTCTTGGCTCAATACGTGTGAACAGATGAGTCGCCCTCATCAGAGGCTATGAAGGAAAAGAGCAAGAACCCAGTCTTATGCAATTTTAGATCATCAGGGATCTTTGTGTCTACATGGCAGTCCTATTCCCCTTCATATTGCTGATAGTGAGAACCTGCTATGTGCCGAGACGCGAGGAGCCTCACGCAAGTTATCAAACAAAACTGCACGTCTTTGAGGTACTACTTTCCGTATCCTACAGGAGCAGAAACTGAGGCTCAGAAAGCTAAATATCTTGCAGAGTTGATCCCCATCTTAACACAAATCTGCCAGCCTCCCAAGCCTGGAGTCTTCCATATCACAAGTCACAGAACATTTCTGGCTAGGAACACAAGTTACAGAACATTTCTGGCTCCCTAGGTACTTTTTCTTAGACGACCTGAATGCTATGAGCACGCCATCTTCCTCTAAAAAAAAACTTCCCTTCCTACTTCCAGCTCCAACTCACCGAAGTCATCTTTGAATTCCAACATGAAATATAGAATATTACAATCCCAGGCAATATATTAAATTTTCTAATGCCCATTAGAGTATCCTATGTCTTAAATCTCCACTCTCAAATGAGCCTGCCCCACTAGGACTTACATCCCAGCTCTATGGCTAAACAATCAGTCATCTCTGGCCATCAGCTAGAGCAGTGCTGTCCAATACGGTAGCCACTTAACTACATGTGGTTATTTCAACGTAAAGAAAATTTTAAAATTTCATTCCTCAGATGCTCTAGCCATATTTTAAGTGCTCAAAAGCCAATTGTGACGAATGGCTACCATACCAGACAGCACAGATACAGAACATTTCTATCACCACAAAAGTTCTACCACACAGCCCTGGTGCACGGGTATCTCAGGGCAGCATCCTTTCATCTTACATCCTACCAATACCATGCTGGAGGACACAGCCTCCTTACCACAGAATTAAGGGATTGTCAGGCTACGTATGGCCATGCTTATGTGTACTTTTGGTTTTTTGTTTTTTTTTTTTTTGAGACAGATGTCACTACGTTGCCCAGGCTGGAGCACAGTGGCTATTCACAGGCACAATTATAGAACAGAATAACCTCAACCTTCTAGACTCAAGTGATCCTCTTGCCTCAGCAGATCTCATCTTTGAAGGAATAACATTCCTGTAGGAGTTAAGTCATTTGGCATACTTATTAATCTAGCATACTAACTAACAAGTGGACTGATCTCATAGGAGAGAAAGTGTCAGAAATGAGAGGCACTGAGAGAAAATCATAGTAAGCCCCTGCACCTCGGGAAGCACCCAAGCACAAGCCCCACAGACAAGCAGAACCACCCACACGGGCGTATCTCTGAGGCACGTCCTCATCAAGGCTCTCTCCACTGAGATTAACCTCTCCAATTCTTCCTCGGCAAGATGAGGTCCCCCAATTTGGTCTCTTCTTTCTATTAAAGAGGACAATGGTGGAAAACCAACTCTCAAATCATTTTATTTCCTACTGACCACTCACTGAATTGTTTCACTAAAAGTTGGAATAATTAGCAAGTAGACGAGCTTTTGCTGACAATGACAGCAGGCTAGAAAAGAGAGCCTCAGTTCCCCTGGGGACAATTGACCTAGAGTTTTAATTTAAAAGATGTTCAGGAATTAAAAACCTGAGAAATTCTGGGGGTAGCTCCAATTTGGGGAAGAACCCCAGAATACAGTATTGATTACTGCTGGGTTAAAACAGCCAGCGTGAGGCACGCAGAGTGGTCAATAGGCAAGATCACTGATGTGAACTTCAACTGTTACCACCTGCAGGTCCCTGCACACTGCATTTCTTCTCTCCTCTTCCTGCTCTCTGTGCATTCAGCCACTAAAACTGAATTCCACACCCAAGACAAGCCAGCCTTCATGGCTGCAGACATTGGTCTATAAAGAAGTGAATCCAAGCCATAATGCCACTTCTTCTGTTGCCAACTCCTTTAGTGATTTTGGCAACCCCTTTGATAGCCCCTGACTCAAGCTGCTATACAGGTCAGACCTGGGTCCCTCTTAGTACAATGTCAAGGTAATAAATGGGAACTGTACAGAGTTAAGACAGGAAATCAAAGTGGAGAATTTTCTAATGACGAATGCAAATGAATTCATCCATCTGGGTGCTGAGTGGGGGAAAATAAACTAACAAGTTCCTCTTAGAGCTTCTGACAATCATCCAGTCCTGGACAAATGTACCTCTCTCCTCTGAGCATTCAACTCAATCCCATCAGTTAAGATGTCTGCCTCTTCTCAGCATTACTCACCTTTGCTTAAGAAGCACAGCTAGTTGAATTACCAACCCTGACAAGAGTCCCTGTCTTAACTGTCTCCTACTCAGCAGTTTACAGGCAGCTCTCGGACCAGCTGGGCCTTTCTCCAGCCCCATGACCCTCCCCTGATTTCATCCTGCACACCTGCCAGGTGAACTGTCCACAACACCCACACTCTAGCCCCCACTTACTCAAGAAGGACCTTCCGACTTCACTAAGGTGTCTTAGGTACCAACATCTCTAAGATCAAACCTTGGCCTCCAAGGTCCTCCAGAATCAGGAAGGGCTGCTTAAGAAATCGACCTTCTCTCCACATCGTAGTCAGGTTATCTTCCCTGCTCCCAATGCATCCCCCTTACAAACCAAACTTTCCATTGCATAACTCAAACATCTCCGGGAAACTTTCCCTCCTGGGTGTGGTAACTCTCCTAACCAGACTGTCAACTCCTCAAGAGCCAGGCACGTCTTACACTTCTCAGCGTCTCTAAGGAGTATTTCAGACACAGAATCTTCAGCAAAACCGACACTCCACAAATATTTGACAATCCACTAAATACAGTTTCTATTCATGCTCCTGAGTTCATTATTCCAACAGCAGATTCTCAGACCACTAAGGTCATCCCACTTCAATACACAGTTTGCAAGGCACTTAATGTCTCTAAACCTGAGCTTCATCTTCTGTGAAATTGCAGTAATAACAGCACCTACCCCACAGGTCACTGGGGTTAAAGAGAAAACGGCGAAGCACTTAGCATCATGTCTGGTCCACAGCAGGTATTCCATACATGTTATCTTCATCCCTCCTCCTAATATTAGTAAGTTTCCTTAAGAGGGCAATGTAACACAGCAGAAATAACATGGTCAGGAGGATAGAACGAACCTGCAATGAAATCCCAACTGTGTTCAGATCCTGTGGGAACTCAGGGAAGTCACTCATCACTCAGCTGTATTACCTTCAATGGTAAAAGGAGATTGATAACCTCAAATGATTAGTCTAAGGCAGGCGTCCCCAAACTACGGCCCGGCCCGCATTTATCCGGTCCCCCGCCACACTTTAGGAAGGGGCACCTCTTTCATTGGTGGTCAGTGAGAAGAGCACAGTATGTGGCGGCCCTCCAGCGGTGTGAGGGACAGTGAACTGGCCCCCTGTGTAAAAAGTCTGGGGATGCCTGGTCTAAGGACTAAACGGGAGAATATACCTAAAGTTCCCAGTACATAGTCAGCGGCTCAATTACTGGTGCTGAGTGGTTTTAACTCCCTTAAATCCCTAACAACTATAAAAGAAAACCACACCCTTGCTCTCCCCGCTGGCCTCACTGCCATCTCCTTCTGGTCACATTGTTTAAGGGAAGTCCCTGAACGAGGCCTAGCATTTCAAATGACAACCGCCAGTCTTCAGCAAAAAGTCCTAACACCATGAGTACAAGAAAATTACATGGAGAGCTGCAAGGAGACCCATTTATTTAAGGGGAGCATGTGTATTCTCTCCTTTTTTTTTTCTTGAGATGGAGTCCAGCTCTGTCACCCAGGCTGGAGTGTAGTTGTGTGATCTCAGCTCACTGCCACCTCTGCCTCCTGGATTCAAGCAATTCTCTTGCCTCAGCCTCCCAAGTAGCTGGAATTACAGGCTTGCACCACCATGCCCATTTTTTTGTTGCTGTTTTTTTTTTTAAAGGAGAGCCAGGGTTTCACCATGTTGGCTAGACTGGTCTCAAACTGGTCTCAAACTCCTGACCTCACGTGTTCCACCCATCTCAACCTCCCAAAATATTGGGATTACAGGTGTGAGCCACCTCACCTAGCCAAGCATGTATATCCTCTTCACCAATTACCACTTCACCAATCTCCAAATATTCACATTTTACACATGTTTAGCAAGGCCCTTCTGGAAATAAAAACACCGATACTATTATTTAAAAAAATAATCTATGAAACTATTCTAACAAAACGAGAGCCCAAAGTACTAAGAGAAAAATCCACAGATTGAACTGGATATGCAAACAAGCAGATAAAATATGACAGCTTAATGAAAAACCCCCCAGCCAATATCACAACATTATTAGAAAGAAAAATAAACTACTCTTCCAAACCACACTGGGAGTTCTTGAAAACTCCAAGGGGAAGTCAGAGCAGAAGACAGTCCTGAGCTCCTGATCCTTGCTTCCCAGGGGTCCAGGCTTCTGCCTCCTGCCAGCCAGAGTCCAGGGCCCTGGGAGGCCCTGCAGGAGGGGAGACAAAATGAGAGCAAGAGGCCAGCATTCAGAAGTTAAATGAGTAACCAGGTAACATGGTTCCCACCAGAAATATGTCTTCTAGGCAACGGTCTGATTACACAAATCTGAAAAATGACCTCACTTCCTTCCTGTTGCTCCAAGGCCCAACCCAGCCCCCAAGGCTGGGGCCCACAGTCTTGGCAATGTACTGGCCTGGCTCCGGCTCCACAGGATCATTCGCTCCTGATGCAGGCTGAGGAAGCCTTATTGGAATACATGGTGAGAGAGGCTGTCCTTCACGAGGGCTTAGATATCCTGTAAAGGGCTGCAAACCCTTGACCACTCCCAAATACTGCAGGTGGCCTCCCTGCCTCCAGGCTTCTTCATCTCCTTGTACCACCTCCAGCTGTCCTCATTTCTTCAGGCTGGAGCCCGCCTAGGAGCTCACAGGTGTTCTTTGCTAAAACTATTAAGTCTGCTCAGATCCTCCGGGCAGATCGTAGCCTGAAGTTCACCAGAAGTATCAGATAACACTAATGATC